GGGAAAGGGCAGAGAGGTACCATGGTGGGAAAGGAAGGATGCTTGGCTTCCAGTCTGTGGGACTCACGAGATGATTCCCAAGACTGATCAGATTACCAGCTTCCCATAGTGGTTCTAAGCACATGTGTTTTGTCACATGTTTACATCTGAAATAGTGGTAGCTATATCAATAGGTTGTGCAAGACGCCCCACCTAACCATCTGGAAGACAAAGGGACATTTAGATTCATCATGTCACATGGTGCGGAAGCCATTCTCATGACTGAAACCCTAGTTGGAAGCCCTTTCATATGTTAGCCACACAAAGGTCTCTGAATGTGCAGTTGTCTGTGACAATGACCATAGTTTTGGTTGGGCTGACGTGTATTCAGACACAGCTGGACGGGATTCCATCCTTGGGATTCAGAAATATTTTGTTATTTAAAATCACCAAACCACAATGTGGGTATACCATATACAAATCAAAAAACTCAACGAAGAATTTTAGCTGTCCTGACGCATCCCACAGGGGGCTGCCAAGGGCTATCTGGCCACAGATGACCATGCCACAGATACAGTTGTGTGTTGATAACCAGTGGCTTAGCCATCCAAATCTTTCCACACTGGAGTTTTGTTTTTGTTTCCTCTCAACTCATCCCAGTTTTCTGGGGACTTTCCTGGTCTTAGTACTGCAATTCCTCCTTCCCGGGAACCTCAGTCATTGACAAATAAGGGTAGAAGGAAACTCTACCTTCTCCTGACACCCTTCACAGCCCTCTTTTCCTCCCTCGCCCCAGCCATGTATGTTTGCACGTGTACTTGTTGGAGGGAGCATTGTAAATTCCCTTTACTTTAATTTAATCTCTAGTCATTGTAAAATCTGGGGTCTCAGACCACAAACAGTTCCTGAGAAAATTTTGAAAACTTTTATTCTCTAAATTACACTAAATTTTCATGCAAGCATATTTATTTCTTTGGTATAATTTACCTCTACTGACAAAAGTAGTAACTGGTAAAGTGTATGTTTATTATTAGCTCTCTGAGAAAGAAGCTGTAAAAAGAGCATTTAAATTTTTTGTTTGTTAAAAACACAACATATAACTGACTAGGTTCTGGAATTACAATGGTGACTACAATTAATGATGTGTGTATGTTTTCCCAACCGAGTTAGATAAATATTTCTAAATAAAGTAAAACTGTTCTGCATATTCTATGTAGAGAGTTCTCTATGACACGTATACACATAGCAGTTTTATATATTTTGTTGATTTTAAGTTACTTCTTATTCCTCTGGATTCTTCAATTAAATTATTAAGATTAAACTCAAATTAAGGCATTGACCTTTTCCCCATGAAAACAGTTCTTTAATACTGAAAACAATGTGAGATCTAACAATAAAAAAAATTCATTGAGAGTTACATATGGCAGAAACTGTTTTAAGTGATTGTCATGTTTTACTTAAATTCTCAAAAGCCATTAAGATTGGTACTATTATTATCATCTGCATTTTACTCTTGACCACTTTACCCAACAGATCAGAGAAGTGATGTCACTTATCGAAAGTCACCGAGCCGGTAGGTGTGGGAGGTGAGATCCTGCCTCAGCAGTTTCTCGAGGGCCTGTGACCGTATTCATTCTGCCATCTCAATCTTAAAATATGGGGAAAGTGACTAATGGTGGAAATAAACACCAAACTTAGAGAGTCGTTAGACTACATTGAAAGCGAAATTGGAATAAACTGTTAAATAAAGCTCGTGGCGCTCACTGATTTCACTTTCCTTTCCTTGGCAGAGTGTGGTGGCAGACTAAGAGCAGAATCAAAACCCAGAGATCTGTACTCACATGCTCAGTTTGGTGATAACAACTACCCGGGACAAGCTGACTGTGAATGGCTGTTAGCGTCAGAACGGGGCTCTCGACTCGAATTATCCTTCCAGATTTTTGAAGTGGAAGAAGAAGCTGACTGTGGCTATGACTATGTTGAGCTCTTTGACGGTCTCAATTCAACGGCGGTGGGGCTTGGTCGATTCTGTGGATCAGGGGTAAATACAGTACAGGATACCATAGACATGATAAAAATGCCTATCAATTGATGATTGATATGCGTAACATATACAAATCAGCAGTACTTTTACCAAAAAAAAGTTACATCATATTATTAATGGCTTGACAAATTATAACATGCCTCTTCTTCCCTTAGTTCTCCATCTCTAGTGAATTTGTTCAATAATATCAAACAAGGCAGATGAATTTGGTAGCTATACTTTCTAATTACTGTCCACATCTTTTTAAATTCATGTTTTCATTGTGCAAAAAAGTTAAATATTTAATAATCTAAAAGCAATGGACCTAAACATACATCTTTGACAATTTTGTAAACTTCCTAAATTAAAGCATAAAGGAGAAAAAGCATATGCACACCATTCAAATTGGCATTCCCGTCTCAACAATCTGATAAGTGGCAGGGTCCACCACTTAGCCAGTACTGTTGAATGTTGTTGTACTGCAGTGTGTCACTTGTGCACAGGACAGAGTGCCAGAAACATGTCAGAGGGTGTCACCATGAGAAACAAGAAAAAGAAAAGCTTAGGACTTTCTCAGTGCTTTTTTTTCCCAAGATTCACTGGATTATGGTCAGATGTTCTTCTGAATACATGTTTTTTCCTGAAGATATTAATCTTATTTTTTGAAATGTCTACCAGTATATATTGCTTAAATAATACTGAACTTGAATAATATTCAAGTTGGGATTCCTGTCCAAGTAGCAACTGAAATGGAATATAAATGCTTCTTGGTACATAGATTATTAAAACAAGAAGGAATAGATGATTTGTATTCTGAAAGTGGCTCTTCCTTGGAGCAGCTTCTGAAACAGATTTAATGTCCCTTGATCCCCTCTGAATTTCACTTTATGTACTTGTAAATCAAAGGAACTTGGCCTAACATTTTGGAAAAAACATCAAGTTCCAGAACTTGGAAACTGACTTAAGTATGTTGGAAGCCCAGCTATATCACTGATCAGCCTTATGACATTGAGTATATCATCTGTTCTCTGAAACTCAAGTTTTTCTCATCTGTAAAATAAAGTCACTGTTGACCGCTTTTCAAGGTTGTTGGGAGGATTAAATTATATACCAAAAAAAAAAATTCTCAAACATGAATTACATGGAAGAAAAAGTAACTTATTCCTTTTGTTTATTTGCTTTGTTTGTTTTTGTCTTCAGCCACCAGAAGCGATCTATTCAATTGGTGAAACAGTTTTAATTCATTTTCACACTGATGACACCATCAGCAAGAAAGGATTTCACATAAGATACAAAAGCATCAGATATCCAGATACCATGCATACCAAAAACTAACATGAAAACCTCCATCAGAACCTAAAGGGATGTGCATAATGGAGAGAAGATGTATTTCTTTTTTAAAATGAAGATTTTAGCACAAATGTTTTATATGACAAGTTTGAGCAGAAGGAAACTGCAAGACCAGAATTATCTATGAACTAAAAGAGAAGTTTCCAGTTTCCTGATCAGCATTGCCAGGATATTTGAACTTTATTCTTGACAGTATAAGTATAAATAAAGCTGGTGAACAAGCATCTCATGCTTCAAAGAAGACTTCGCAGCCTTTGTTCACAGCTCAACATAGATGCTTCACAATTCAGACAGTTCTGTTCAGGGTCTGTGACCCTGAAGAGTGTTCTTTTTGACAATTTTTTAATATATAGGAGAAATAAAATGACCTTGCAGGTCATAAACTGGAAAACCCTCACCTCGTATCTTATGATCATTGCTTTGGCTTGGTATCTTGAAGACAACGTAAACCAGATCTATCTAAAGTGCTGTGCAACGGGAGTCATTTCAGGGTGGCTTGTACTTTAAGTGTGGGTGTGCCCAGTGTTTGGAAACTGGAATATTTCAGCTTCATTATTTTCACTTGCAGGCTCAACTAACCTCCTTGCAACATAAAAAAGATCTTGAGACCATTTCATTTTACTGACATTTTGACAAGTTTGAAATGTCAGTAGTGTCTATTATTGAAGTTAACTGTAGACGTCATTTACGTAAGAGCTGGAAAATGCCCGGATGATAGGTAAACTCAGTTCTTTTTCCCTGCTGCCTTTTCCCACCAAATCCAAGAAGCCTTGTGATGTCTTGTGAACATGATGAGAAAACTCCCGACAGGTGTGAACAGGATTCTTCCAAGTGACTGCCTGGATGGCTCCTACTCAAGTTCCACTGCTGCTATGGTCTTTCTTTTGTTGTTGATCTGTTGTAGTTGTTACTGTTGGTGTTGTCATGGTTAATGTTGTATTTTTTTTTAAATGAAATGAAATGAAGCGAAAGTAACCCTTGTAAGAATTGAAAGATCTCTTTCTTTCTCTTCCTAGGAATCAGTTTTTTAAAAAATGCAATGTTGGAAAAAAAAAGGATTGGTTTCTGAAAGACTTTCTATGGTGCTATTCTATAAACATTTTTTAAACAAAGTTTTTGACCTTTGAGCCAACCACCTGTAGACTATGAACGTCTCTCTCTGTCTAGATGGTAGCACTTGAAGACTCAAGACTTGTTACATGTAACAAAAGGATATCATTGCAAGGGCAGCCCCTGTCCTATGGAACAACTACTTATAATGCCTTAGAATTCTGTCACGTGATCGAGCAGATCCTCCTAAAAGACACTTTTTGAAAGTTGAACATAATAGTTTATGTTAATTAGCATCTCTATGAGGAAAATCCATTTCTGTGACTGAGAGCATTGTATATAAATATGGTGAACTGCTTTTACTGTAGAAAATGAATTTTCTGCTTTAAAGCCAGGTTTTTTTTTTAAATATTAATGTCTGTATATGTGAGATTGAGTGAGTGAAGCTACAAGAAAGTGAAAAGTAGTGGGTGATTGAAATGTTTAAGTTTATGTGCCAAGTTCTACTAGAATCTTATTTGAATTTGCACCTTTCTTAGGATGTTTCATGGACAAATAATGGAAACTTCTTATTATTATCAACCCATTTAAAAAAAGGCTCCTTCCTTTAGAGAAACTCTATTTTGATATTTTTGATGTTGATATAGATTGCTATATGAAGTAGCTTTGGTTCTGTTACCTGTCCATGAACATTCAAAATCTAATAAAATTGAGAATTGGTCTTCATTTTACAAAATTAAACTATACACACAGATTTAGCTTATTTGTTTTTTGTCATTGTTGCCTTGAAAAAGCTCTTCTTGCATATGAATTGTAATATGTAAATACATTTTTAAAAGCAATTTTTCGATCTTATGGAATGTTACTTTGGAAATGTATAACTGTTGCCTGCAATATAATGAGCTTTTTAGTGGAGCTGATTTATTCCAGTAACAACTTCTACGTTTTTTTCACTAATCTCCAATTAGCCAAAATATTAGGAATGGGAAAGAGAGGTGAAAAAAGACATTAACCCTAGCCACTATACTGTATCCAGCCCAGTACCAGGCACATGCAGTAACTCTCTTTAAACTTTATGCCACCCTTTGAGAACTGTGGTCATGCTCTCACTTTGTTTAGGAACTGAGGTTCAAAGAAGGTATATAATGTTCGCAGGGTCACAGTGCAAAGTTAGATGTTAGAACCCAGATTGTCTGATATACAAATCTGTGGTTGTTCTACAAAAGATAGTAGACTCAATCTTGACATACACCAATAGTAGATATATTTTTGTGATGAAACTTCTACAGGTGAAGTCAAGTTTAGAGATGAATTGCAGTAAAACTTTCAGGATAAACATTGTTCTTTTCAGTAATAGCATGACAAGTCAAATATCAACTGTGGCTATCTTTAAGAACCACAGTTAGTACTAGAAATTAAAAAAAAATTACTAGATAGTCTAGAGTTAGTAACTATGGGCCTTTTGTTAAAATAAATACATTAAATTATTTTATCTGGTGTGGTAGGAGAAGTGTAGTGTTCTACATTAATAAATATTGTGGATATTCTGGTTGACATCTTTTTAGGCCACAATGAGCTGCATTTGATACAAACAAGAAGTATTTAAAAGGCGTACAACAGAGGTGTTGTCTTAAATTAGGACTTCAATGGGAACATTAATTTTTATTGTACCTTATGTCAGATATCAGCTCACTGTATATTATTTTTATAGTAATTCAACTTTGGCTTAAGTGTGTTATTAAATTCAAGTACAGTTTCATTGTTATTTTGTTCATAACTGTTAATTACTGTTCCAGGCATTTTATTAGTTTTGTAAATTTATTTTTAACCATTATGTCAACTCCTACATTCATCTTGGTTGTGCTCTCTATTTGCCAAAGTTCTAACTCCTATAAAATCCTCACTGACTACACAGAAAAAAACTGCTCACACTTAATGATTTTATTAAATTATTTTTAAAAGTCAATCTTGACTATTAATCTAGTTTATGGAGGGGATCATGGCTTAACATAACTGCACAAAAGAACATTTTAAAGAAATATATGTGAAACAGCAATCCTATTTCCAAAGTCCCCAAATGTCCCTTGCCTGGATTGGCTGGATTTTTGCTATCTATGATTAACTTTAGTATATCACAATCTCAGATACAAATTCTGTCAATTTTATTTTTAAATACCTTGGTATCTTTTATTTGGTTTCTATTACTATATTTTTGATAGCCTCAAATAATGAAATTTTATTCTCACATATAAAAAAATCTCTAAAAGCATCTAATTATTATTCTTCACAAGGGTAAAAGATTTTTAAGAAATATTTGTTCCATATTTTCATAGATTTAGTAAGCTAAATCTAAATAGCCATGTGTGACATTAAAAATAACTTTTACTTAAAGCAATTATCAAAATGGTTGGCAATTTTATTTAGCAACAATTATATTTTAGTGAGAATATTTTATATGAAGGAAAACCTTTAGGACCACTATAAAGCCAGCATAGAAGGTGGTAAACAAGAAAAACAATGGCCATGTAAAAATCTATATAACCTAAAATGAAGTGATGCCTTCTGTTTTATGAGGAAAAAAATGTTAACAGCTTATCAAAGAGAAAAAAATGATGGTCTATGAATAAATTGAAGCTTTTTTTTCCTTCATTGCATAGTTAACAGTTGCTAGTGAATATTTAACTTTTAGTCTTTTAGTGCTATTTTTATAACATTGAGAAATTTATCTTAGGAAATGATGGAAAGGCTGGCTCCTATACAGTGTGAAATATTATTAATCTCCAAAATTTCTTTTGATGTGTGCTTTCTAATTGTCTTGCCTTCAACCAGCCTGCCTTTCACTCTGCACAAGTGTATTCGACCTGAATTCAGACTTATCACATAATTTGAGTCAATACCATGAAACCTACCTGGTACAGAAGTAAATGTAGGGTGATTCCAAAAAGCATGTAAGGCCCTGAGCATGTCTCACATATATAAGGCATAATTGTAATATGAAACATCCAAGTACATTTTACTACCATTTGTGGGGAATTATTCCAAACAGTGTGGTTTAGACTTTCAGACAAGATACCATAGGCATATTCACTGTCTTCTTCCTTGCATTTGTGCTTCATAAAATTTCAACTTTTGTATAATATAACTTATTTTGCCACAGTCAAATATTTTCAGCTTATAAACAAAATTATCCATTCTCAAGATGGGAAATGGAGCTGGGATAGCATAACAGAATTTTGATATTTATTCATATAATCATTTAGCAGCAAAAGTTAACAATATAATCTTACAAAAAGCACCTCGGGAGGTGACGAAGATGGCAAAGTAGGAAGATCCTGACCTCACCAATTACCAGTAATGAAATTGAATTAGTAATAAAAATTTCCCAATAGGCAAAAATTCAGGAATAGACAGCTTTACAGGTGAGACCTATCAAATATTTAAAGAATAGGTAACATTTATCCTTCTCAAACTAGTCCAAAATATTGAAGAGGAAGTAATACTTCTGAACTAATTCTACAAGGCCAACATCACCCTGATACCAAAACCAGACAAAATCATCACACACAAAAAAGGGAAAAATACAAGACCAATATCACTGAAGAGCATAGATGAAAAATCCTTAACAGACACCAGCATAACAAATTGAATAATACATTAGTGGGATCATGCACCATGCTTAAGCAGGAGTTCCACCAGGAATGCAAGGATGGTTCAATATCTGCATATCAAACTCTGTGGTATACCACATTAACAAGCTGAAGAATAAAAACCATATAATCATCTCAATAGATGCAAAAAAGCTTTTGACAAAATACCCATTTATAATAAAAAAAAACTCTCAAGAAAATGGGTATAGAGAGACTATACCTCAACATAATGAAAGCCATATATGATAAACCAGCAGCCAACATCATACTTAATGGTGAAAATTTGAAAACATTTTCTCTAAGATCCGGAACAAGACAAGGATGCCCACACTTACGGTTTTTATTCAGCATAGTATTGGAAGTCTTAGCCACAGCAATGAGACCAAAAGAAAAGAAAAAAAGAAAGATAAAAAGAAAAGAAAAGAAAAGGAATTCATGGGAAAAGAAGAAGAGTCACTGTTTAGAAATGAAATAACAGTATATAAAGAAAATCCTAAAGAGGCTACCAAAAATATATTAGAACTAATAAATGATTGTAGTACAGTTGCAGGATACAAAATTGATAAATAGAAATCTATGCACACTGGCAAAAAACTATAAAAAAGAGAAAATACGAGAACAATTTCAATTACATTTAAATTAAAAAGAATAAAATACCTAGGAATGAATCTAACCAAGGAGGTAAAAACCTGCATTTGGAAAACTATGAGACACTGAGAAAGAAGCTGAAGACACACAAACAAATGGAAAAATATACTGTGCTCATTGATTGAAATACTAAACACTATTAAAATGATCATACTCCCCAAGACAATCTACAGATTCAACCCCTAAGTCAATACCAATGACATTTTTCACAGAATTAGGACAAGGAATTCTAAAATTTGTATGGAAATACAAAAGACCCCAAATAGAAAACAGAACCTTGAGAAAGGAGAGCAAAGCTGGAGGTATCATGTGCCCTAATTTCAAAGTATACTCAAAGCTACTGTAATCAAAGCAGTATGGTATTGCCACAAAAACAGTCACATCAGTAAGCAGAATAGAATAGTGCCCAGAAATAAACCCAAGGTTATATGGTCAAATTATCAATGACAAAGGAAGAATATGCAATGAGGGAAAGACAGCTTCTTCAGTAAGTGGTGCTGAGAAAACTGGACAGCTATGTGTAAAATAATGGGATTAGAAATTGTTCTCACACCATACAGAAAAATAAACTGAAAATGGATTAAAGGCTTAAAAGTAAGACCAGAAGCCATAAAACTTATGAGAAAATGTAGGCAGTACATCCTTTGACATCAATCTTAGCAATATTTTCTTGAATATGTCTCCTCAGGCAAGGCAAGAAAAAGCAAAATAAAAAAAAATAAGACTTCATCATACTAAAAAGGTTTTGCATAGTGAAGGAAACTATCAACAAAACAAAAAGACCACCTACTGAATAGGAGAAGATCAACAAAACAAAAAGACCACCTACTGAATGGGAGAAGATATTTACAAATGATGTATCTACTAATGGGTTATTACTATAACATACAAAGAACTCATACCACTCAATACAAAAAACAAACAGTTCAATTTTTCAAAATGGGCAGAAGAACTGAATAGACATTTTTCCAAACAAGACATACAGATGGCTAAGAGGAACATGAAGAAATGGTCCATATCACTCATAATAAGGGAAATGTAAATCAAAATCACAATGAGATATTACCTCACACCTGTCAGAATGGCTACAATCAAGAAGACAACAAGTAATAAATGTTGGCAAGGATGTGGAGAAAAAGGAAACTTTATGCACCAAGGGTGTGATTGTAAATTGGTGCAGTCACTCTAGAAAACAGTACAGAAGTTCCTCAAAAAACTAAACATACAGAGGGCCAAGATGGTGGAGTAGATCACTCTTAGCTCACCCTCTCCCATGAATTCACCAAGAGAGACTTACATGGACTCACCCATTCACCCAGAACGCCTGCTGAACTTTGACAGAACATTGTCTACTTTAAAAGACAAGATTTCTCAAAAATCTGGTAGGAGGGCAAAAAAAAAAAAAAAA